ATAATAATAATAATCATTATAACAGCCGTCTTCAAATTATCTCAATATCCCTTCTGGAAACAGCAGAGCAACAGCGGTACCACCAGCAATGGCGCTACCCCAAAAAAAATTGAAAGTACCAAAAACAGCAACAACAAAAAATGATAAGATGTATGCAAGGCACGGGCCGGACCGTCTAAGCAGTCGTTTTCTCAGCTCCTGGCGCTGTTGGAGATAGACAGTACAAGATGAACGAGGGAAAGTGTCTTGCAACGAGACAGTTGCACTGTTTCCATATTTTGAGAATTAAGTGCAATAAAAATGTGTTTTATTTGAAAAGTATAATGTGAAATGCAAAAATCATGAAATGAACGATTGAACACCTTTGTTGTGTATGTATACAATATTTCTCTCACAGGGATTCATTGCTCCACATGAAAAATGAATTGTATAGGTTCAACGCCCCTATCAACACTATTAGGTAATTTTCTGCTGAAGTTCCATTTCTTTTTCATTTTTACATATAATAGAAACACCATTTCACAAATAGCAACAATGAGTTTCATTCCTGAAAGTTTTATTTTTTGATACCCAAAATTGTAAATCAAAATTCACCCTTTAAAAAGGACCCTTGGGGGAAAGGACATTCAGAACGTACTCAATGCATGCTGAATGGAAGCATTATTAGACAAGGAAATATAACAGACCATGAAACAATCTGAAATTTTGAAATATTTCTATTATTCTTGAAGACAATTTCCAAGCTAAAAAATCAATTATGTTTAGAACATTAATATAAACTTGTGTTGAAATGTAAGGTATTATATGCTAGAAAAATACAGCATAAAACTGAAATAATAAAAACAAGATTTTTAATCGTTTAAAAAAGCATGATTTCATGTCAGATCAGTCATAAGATTCCATGTTAGAGTAAAAAATACTCCATTTGAATGAAATACACTTCTGAAAAGATGCAGTAAGATCAAAAGAAATCCATATTTATTGATTTCAAATATTCGACTTTGGAATGGAAAGCAACAGCGCATACCCGATATACCGGAATATTGCATGTGATGCAGATCAGATTTACTTTCTTGCCATAGTGTGAACACCTTCTCTGCTTCGGCATTGAATCAAAACGAGGCCCAGAAGCAGACTTTCTGATTGCATTGTCAACGTTCCTCTTCTTTGCAACCGGCTTGTGTATTTGTAAAGGCAAATGCTTTTCTGATTTCAACTTTGAACGCCAATAAGATAAACATGCACGACTGCTAAACGAAAAGAAAGCAAGCCATGTATGTAAGAGGATGGCGTTGACCGGAGATTTACTCTATGTACTGCAGCCAGGCATTGCTCTTATTATGTGGCAGCATCTGGCAGGAAAGCAGAGAGTGGCCACCACCACTTCTTTGAACTAATAGTGATCTGGTACAGACCCACGTTTTGATCCATCTTACTACCCCCCCCCCCAAAAAAAAAAAAAATAAAAAAAAAAATAAAAAAATAAAAATAAAAATAAAAATAAAAATACAAATTAAAAATAAATAAATTGATGCATTGTTTGCTGTACTTTTTGTCCCAAGCAGACCATCTCCTTGCAGTTTGAATAGGTTCAAGACCCGCACAGTGACTTGCTAGGCTGACACTGGAATTGTCATTACAGAACAAGACAGACGATGTCATGACGGTCCAGTCGGTAGTCCCACGATCCACTCTTGAACTTTTTCGGGCCATCTGAGTCAATGGGGCCTTTGTCCACCCGATTGCTCCTCACTTTACCCACTTCCCTGAAAACTCTCTCAGAATCTCAGAGAATATTCTATATGCCGTAAACAGCGGTAACCCTGTGTAAAAAAACCATTGTGGTATTTCATACGTTCTCTCTCTGGGAGCTTACTGGCTAGTTCTCATGCAACTGATTGCCCAAGTCCTAATTGTCTGTCATACTCTGCATGGGAACCCAGATACAAGTCCAGATGGACAACATAGCCAAAAAAGAGTGACCAGAAGCCATTGTTTATAGTCAAAACGAATGGATTTGACGGTGTGTCATCTTCGTCAGAATTCATTCCATCAGCTGGAGGCTGTATGTATAATCTCCCGTCAACCACTGCTTTATCAGTGTCCTCTATCACTGTAATGGCATCTTAGAGTAAAGGCATTTCTGGCTTGTTTCTGTTAAGAACACAATGTAATTTATTTAGAAACTAGAAAGGGGAAAAGGACACCAAAATAAAATAAAACCGAGTTGCATTGATGTGTGGCAACTAGGACGATAACCACGGCAAATAGTCGAAGTGTAAATGGAAAGTGGGTATGTACAATGAATACAAAAAATAATGAATATCCATAATATTTACATCTACGCCTAAATTTGATCCTAAAGGATCTAAATCTTGTATCCAATATTTATATTAGTAAGATATTCCACATATGTGTATCAAACTATACCTACAAGTAGTCTAAACCACCGGTACTAGAGAATAGCTCTGGAACCCCCTTCCTGCTAGCGTCCTTAAAAAAGGACAGGTGTTTCAAAAGCAAGTGTGCCGAAACAAACAACCTTTCTGAAGGACTTTATGGTTGCTTTCACTAAGGAGGTACTTATCTACATATTGAAACAGGTTTTAGCGACACATTTTGATAATTTCTTATATTTTCATACTCACCTTTTCACAGACTTGCTAGGAGCCGCCATTATGGAAATTTAAACTTTTTGAGAAACAAAATCAGCATAAACAAATCGCGCTGGAGTGAAATTTTTTTTGTTTAAACTGAAAATTCACAACTTTGAAACACCATTATTTGAAATTTGTATTAATTATCAGGTTTTTTTCCAAAGCGTCCTTTAAAAAGGACGGAAGAACTTCTGAGTTTCACGTTTATTTCCGAGAGGTTTGTAGCTGAACAGGAACTTCGTATCATAAATAAGTGCTTTTTCTAAGGATACAGCGCCGGACCGAGCCAAAGATCCTTCACAGCAAGATGGTTCAGTCAACCAAAAAAAAGGGTTCGCAGCCGTACGTGACTATTCTCAGGTGGTGCTTCAGTCGCTGTTTTGAAGCTCACTTTCGTTTCTCGAGACGAATAATAGAAAAAAAGGGGGGAGGGGGTGTATTTGCTGTTCATCGGTCTACGAAGCTTGGAGAGCGGTGGGCTCTCTTTATCGTTATCTAAAAAGCATATAAACGACTTATAACAGCCCGCACGAGTTTTACTTGTTGCTAGATTCATTCTTAGCTTTAATGAAACAAAACAAAACAAAAAACAAAAACAAAAACAAAACGAAGCCATACATTTCCATACAATACAACTGCGGTTTGAGTTTAGTACTGATATTACCTATACTTTTCTCTATCCTTCCATTGTCAGCTGTTCACAAAGTAGCTGTCTATTCCTAGGGGCACCACTGTGATTTTGAGGACGTTTTTTAACTGGCTCAAAGAGAGGAATGAACCATTTAATAGTGTAGGATTTTTGGCCAAGCTGAGGGTGGAATCCTCGAACCCACAATCTAACGATTAACCACTAAGCCAACGATGCCACCATTAATCCATATTACATTTTACATTCTCTATATTGAAAAAATATTACCCCAGGCAAGATCCAGCATGAAAAATCACACTTACATGTACGAGTTGATAAAAAGGTATTGAGGAAAAAGGTGAGCATAATCTTAATTTTAAAATAGTATGGATCTAGAAGGCAGTCATTACAATTTGAAGATGTCTTGTAGCAATGATTACAAATGCCACCAGGAGACGAACGATCTGAGACTACCAGGCAGTGTAAGATTAGACAAAAAGTGGATAGTAAACTGGGATTTACTGCAATATCCCAGAGATGTTCTGTTCTCTTACCCCACTCCCCCCCAAAAAAACACAAAAAAACTAAACCCCCCCCCCCCCCAGAAAACCCCCAACAACAAACAAAACAAAAAACCCCACCAAAAACCAACTACGACAAAAATCAATAAAAAAAAAAGAAAAAGAAAAGAAAAGAAAACCAACTCCCATAAAAAAAAATCAACAAAAACCCTCAACAAGACCAAAATCAAAATCAAAACAAAAAACAAGCAAGCAACGAAAATAAAAAACACTCCCCCCCCCCCCCCCTAAAAAAACCCCCAAACAAACAAACAACAACAACCCAACAACAAATAACCAGAAACAAAACTGCTTAAGTTTTTTAATAAAAAAAACAACTGTTAAATGTTTTTGGGTAAAACGCTATACAACTCCGAAGGTGTCCAACTCTCGTGGCCTAGAGGATAAGGTGTTCACCTCTCAAGCAAAGGTCACAGGTTCGAATCCGGATAGAGACTGAAATAATTTCATCTCCGAAATTGTCTCCTTTGACCTCCTTTCCTGCTCTCTAACAATGTTCTGTCGTCTGATTTCGTCTCCGCTTTCTACCCCTACTCCCTCAACTCCTTTGCCCCTACCTCTGGGCCCCTGACTCTTTCTGCAGCCTTTCTACTGCTTCTCCTTGGCTCCGTCTTACTGTAGTCTTTAAGCCACACCCCTGATCTTCTGGTAGGAAAGGTCTACACTTAGCCTTCTCGGACAAGGGTGAAAAATCTCGGAGGTCCCGTGTGCAAGATGCGCTAGTTAAAGATCCCTTGGTGGTCCAAAGTCGATTAGAGTAGGCTTTGGCCGCCACCCGGGCAAAATTCAAAATTTCCTACCAACTGAAAATGTGAGGCAGCGTGGTGGAATCAGGCTTTCGTCAATTTTTGGACATATTGAGTTATTGGTATCATCTTAAAGCTTGTTCATTGTCTTGCTTTCAATGAAAAAATTACCCTTCCATCTTCAATAGAAGTGGAGATATTTTGGATTGAAGGAGGTGGGGGTCACCTGGTTTAAGAGGTAAAATTAGCGAGAAAATGGCCGCCAAAGCTTGGTAAATTCCAAAGCTGCAGAGTCCACGGAAACTGTAAATTTATATTTTTTGGGCCTTTAATAAACGTTTTCGGTGAATTCCTCAAAGGAATGTGTGTTTAAAAAAAAATAGTAGAGGGTTTTACGGCGCTCGCAACTGCATAAGGTAAAGTGAGCGCCAAGGGGTGGGTGTCAACAGAGAAGTCTTTACAGGGAATCAGACTTAGACTGCTCACCTCTCTAGCTTCAACAGCACAAGGTCTGCTTCGACTATCAAGGCACCCCGGAAATAGCAGGCCACAAGAGAGTGACAAACATACAAAAGAAGTAGAGGAAAATGACAATAGTAAGGGTCAGGAAAGAAAAAGCAGCAGTTCCCTGTTGTAGATCAGGCAGTTATGAGCGTGACATGAGTCAGCCCATTTACAATTCTACTATGCTTGAACGAGAAATGTCCCTCCTTTGGGAATGACCTAAAGACATTACAGTCAGTGGCACTGCCCGGGGGGGGGGGGGGGGGGGGGGTGAATGTGTTTGTAATGGACATGAAAGGTGTTGAGCCAAAAAACAAAAATGTGATAAAACTACTGTGTTCTTCGATTTCATTATTTTGACGATAGCCTGATTCCACCACGCTGCCTCACAAATGTTTCGTGTGTCCTGAGCGCTCATATGACCTTATGCAGTTGCAAGCACCGTAAAAAACAACAACAAAAGCACAACATGAACAAAACAACACTTCGAACTCTGTACTAAATCCCCGCAATAATCACAAAGACAAACAGGCAGACAGATCGACAGACAGACACAAACGGCTTATTATTGAATATTCCTCCCCCTAAACCTTAAATTCTGAATAATACATGTGAAAACAGAGAAATGTATGTACATGTTTGTGTGTGTGTGTGTGTGGGGGGGGGGGGTTGCCAAAACTATACTACGGACACCAAATCAATGTCCACCTATGTATCTCTGCACACAGACTCATTTGTACGTTACTGCCATACCTTTGCATTCGACTGGACGTGAGATAAAAATTCGTCTCCAATGGGCGGGAACTGAAAGCCAGTGCTACCTCCACAGTCTCCACCTCCTCTGCTTTCGGGTCCCCCACGACCATCCCCACCACCTCCATCCCCGCCCTCGTGGTAAATTTGGCGCTTCTCCACGTCGTTGTTCAAGAGACGGACCTGCAGAAGACAAAAACCGAAGACATAAGTAGTGGTGCTTGATGTGGTGCAAAGGTGGTTGAGGACACTTTTGCTACAAGGGCTATCATTGTTGCTGTTGTTGGTGTTATAGTTTTTTTGTCAATGCTCTTCTTTCCTTCTTTCTTCTCCTGCCCTCTCTCCTCATCTTTTTCAATAAATGTGCCTACACGAATACAATCATTTAACTTGGATCAAAACATCTTCTTCATTTATGGGGCTGACAAAAGCCTCAATCCACGATCCAGTGGATCCTAGGTCACTGCAAGATCCTCAGGAACGAACTCGCCGATAGAACTAGCGGCCGTACAGGCAACAGCGCTGCGGGCCCAGGTCATCAAAATCGATATGAAAGCGCATGCGCTCAGATAAGACTGATAACGAAAGACTCCCCGTTATTTCACCCACTTACAAAGGAAGGGGCTCTGTTCACAAAAGGGAGGCACATAATTTAGGTCTCGATATCAAATAGGCCTCCAATCAAGGCCCTGCAAATGAACAACGACCGCCCCGACGAACCGCCGCAACAGAACAAGAGCACACTACTCCTAATGGAAGGCAGAGATTTTCCTAAAAGAGCCGAAGATGCCAGCAGAAAAGAACCCACATCTGTTTAATTGCAAGAGGAGGTCCACGAATTATTTTCAAACATGGCCGTGGGAATTAAGTCTCGCAGCGACCAGTCACGACTGGTGAAAATCAGGACTGGTTACTTTTCTGGGATGCGGGCCTACAACATAGAATCAACAACACATTGGAGCCAATCTCTCCATCGCGCAGAGAGGAGCCCAACTGGGGTCCAGAGGTGGCATATATTTGGGGAAGATTCAGGGAGGTAGGACTGCCTCACCCGCTACCCTAGAGAGGTAGTGGCCCTAGCGAAGAGCACGCTCTACAGGGCTCCAAACAATGCTGAAACATAGGCTATTACACACACAGACATACATACACACACACACACACACACACACACACACACACACACACACACAAACGCACACACACACACACACAGATACCTCATTGTAAAAAAATCTGAACATGTATCGAGTGCAGAAGTGAGGAGAGGCACAGACGAACTCAAAAGTAGCTACACAGACAACTTCCTGCGCCCATGGGGAACATTTCGGAGCACAATATTATTGATTGTTCTCTTATGCCGTGTTCACACATACAGGAGTAATGAAGCCGAGTAAGATGGTAAATTTCTATGTCCAGCAGGTCGGGGCTACTCTGGATACATTTCGCCGAGCAATCGGCCTCCCTCCCAGAGTGATATTTCTTGCTCGCCGTGTGAAATTATCACACGTGAATCTTGTCGAAATTTTCAAACATGCTTAAAATTTTCGCCCTGCGAAAATGAGTCGCCGAGTCAATAATTCGCTAGGGGAAAACTCGGGGAGGACTCGAGGATTGTCAGAAACAGCTCAGAATGCAAAATTGCATACGTTGCCGAGTGACAGTGACACGCCGACGAGATCTGAATGGTAGCCAAGTTAACTTTCATACTCTACGGGTTAAATTATTGCTCGCCGTGTAAAATTCTTGCACAGCGAGTCTTCAATTACTCAAGCAAATGTTGCCTTGTGGATGGTGGGACTGATTTTCTCCAGCACTTCTTGGAAAAACTCTGGAGAAACTCAGATGAAATTCCTGAAGGATGCCACATCTTCAACTTACAGTTCAGCAAACAGCTTCTCAAACTGTCCATACAGGGGTCTTCTTATGAGCCATGATCTAACTCAACAGGCCCTCCTCCTCCTCCTCTTCCTCCTCGTCTCCTCTTCTTGCAACAGCACAACAGCAAGGGCACCATATGTATACATAAAGTACGCATCCATCGTCTGTGGCATATGAGACATGTTGAAGGAATGCGCACAAACATTTGCCCCCCCCCCCTTTATATATTATAACATTGGACGCCGACTTAGTCGGCGACGGGTCGGCAGGATGGTCAGCATGGTTGACGAGTTTGTCGGCGATTGAAATTGTACTCGGTTGCAAGCTTTCTTGGCTCTGCACGCGGCCAAGATTCAAACTAATTGCTCGGCCAGACGCTCGGCGAGATGCTCGCCGTCCTACATTATCGCTCGGCGAACATCTCCCCGAATGCCCGCCGACAAAATAATATCAACAGTCCTGGTCAGATGCTCGTCACAATTAAACCCGAATTGGCATTTTCTTATCGGGAATTGCTCGTCGACTCTTTTCCTGTATGTTTGAACACCGCATAAGTCCAGCAGGTCAGGGCTACTCTGGATACATTTTGCCAAGAAATCGGCCTCCCTCCCCGAGTCATACTTCATGCTTGCCGTGTAACATTATTACAAGGGAAGCTTGCCGAAATTTTCAAAACCTGCTTAAAATTTTCGAAGAGCGAAAAATGAGTCACCAAGTCAGTCAAATACTCGCACGTGGAAAACTCGGGGAGGACTTAGGGAGGGCCAGATATAGCTCGGCGTGCAAAGTCACATACGTAGCAGGGTGACAGTGACAGTGACAGTGACAGTGACACGCCGACAAGATCTGAATGGTAGCCGAGTTAAAATGTCATACTCTGCGGTTTTCATTATTGCTCGCCGTGTAAAAATCTTGCACTGGGAGTCTGATTTTCTCAAGTATGGCGTGCAAAAGTTGACACGAGGAGCATGTGCCGTGTCACGTCGACGGCGACGCTCACGCATACTGTAGAGGCCTGTAACTATTTCCTGTTGCCAGGTATCGAAGAGTGACAGCCAGCTTGATGTCAGGTTCCAGTGACTGCCTCCAGAAAGTGTTTGCATTGTGGATGGTGGGGCCAATTTTCTCCTGTAGTTTTTGGAGAAACTCTGGAGAAACTCTGAGGAAATTCCCGAAGGATGCCACATCTTCAACTTGCAGTTCAGCTTCTCAAACTGTCCAAATAGGGGTCTTCTTATAAGCCACGGTCTAACCCAACAGGTCGTCCTCCTCCTCTTTTTCCTCCTCGTCTCCTCTTCTTCCACCAGCACAACAGCAAGGGCACCATTATGTATACATGAAGTACGCATCCATCGTCTGTGTCGTATGAGACATGTTTGAAGGAATGAACACTAACATTCCCACCCCCCTTTTTATATATTATAACATTGCACGCCGACTAGCTCGGCGACGGGTCGGCAAAATGGTCAGCATGGTTGGCGAGTTTGTCGGCGTGTGAAATATTACTCGGCGCTACGTTTCTTGGCTCTGCAAGCGACCAGGATTCCAACTAATTGCTCGGCAAGACGCTCGGCGAGATCCTCGCCGTCCTAAATTATTGCTCGGCGAGTGTCTCCACGAGTGCTCGCCTATACAATAATGTTCATCTACAGAATATGACGTCACTTGTGGTAAAATGTTAAAAACGGGAGAAAGTTGCCTCATTTGCATACTCACAGTCGTGCAATTAGTGTGCACAGGGGCTCTTTTTCCTTTTTCCCCCGTTCACCACCCTTTCCTTTCTCTCTCTTAAAGATTAAAAAAAATTCCCTTCACTTCTCTGTTCTAGCGCTTCATCTTTCTTTCCTCGATACCCTCAAAGCGACTTTTTTTCTGCATTCTCCTGGAAGATCTGGCGTCAGCTTTTGTTACCAACTTGTTTTGCGTTGGAACTGCTTCTCACTTACGAACTTTTTGTTTCACAAAAGCTATTGTTCTGCTCATAGTTTGAGAGAGATGTTATCACTTTCCCATAACCACAGGACACTTATAATAATTATAACTTGCGCTTGGCAGCTACATTGAGATGAAGAGTTGCTTAACCAAAGGGACAATACCTGAGCACATGTGATATCTGTGTAGGGGTACTGTGGTCGTGTGTTGTCACCTCCCACACGACCGACATTCCATCGCTTTTTGGGCGGACAGTTTATTACTGGGGTGCTGTCCTTCTCAATGATCTTGTCTCGGAGGCACAGCACACGCGCCATGAAATTTATCATGAACTGTGAAAGTAAAAAGGAACAAACACTAAGCATAGCAAATTAATCACCATCCGAAATAAAACAAAACAAACGAAACAATAACATCATCAACAACAACAACAACAACAACAACAATAACAACAACAACAACAACAACAACAACAACAACCACAGGTCCAGGAAGCAGGAATAGGAACAACGCGTCAGTTGCAACACCACTATGACACTTACAAATGTAAATCACACATTCTCAAAGAGGTAAACTGTCAGTTTGTCTGTCTGTCTGTCTGTCTGTCTGTCTGTCTGTCTGTCTGTCTGTCTGTCTGTCTGTCTGTCTGTCTGTCTGTCTCTCTGTTTGTCTGTCTGCCTGCCTGTCTGTCTGTCTGTCTGTTTGTCTCTCTGTCTGTCTGTCTGTCTGTCTGCAACACACTGAAACACAAGGGCTCTTTTTGATAATCTCTCTCTCTCTCTCTCTCTCTCTCTCTCTCTCTCTCTCTCTCTCTCCCTCTCTGTCTCTTCCCCCCCCCTCTCTATCTAACAACCGAAAGCTGTTTACTCACCAAGCGTAAAACCTTCGGCACTCTGTTGATGCGCACCCCCCGGAAGTGCATGTTGGCCACCATACAAGCCAGGATCTCGGACATGGTTATCATCACCATGTTCATGCAGAAATAAGCGCCTGTACAGGAAACGAAGTAGAACTATAACCATACTTTGCGTTCTTCTGACCTACCTACCTACCTACCCACCTACCTACCTACCTACCTACCTACCTACCTACCTACCTACCTACCCACCTGTCTGTCTGTCTGCATGTCTGTCTGCATATCTATCTATCTATCTATCTATCTATCTATCTATCTATCTATCTATCTATCTATCTATCTATCTATCTATCTATCTATCTATCTATCTAAAGGATGGAGAGCAGGGCAGAAGAGCGACAGTATTTTTAAAAACAGGAAAATAATACGTCCGGTGAACAGCGACAGTGCCAAGGGAATACCTGGTCTTGATGGTATTGATCATAGTATCCTTACTCAATGTTTCTGTATGAAATTTTGTTGCTTACAGATTAAAACAGACTCATTATATTTCCCTCTGTGATTTCAGGCTTGGGATTGAAAAGACTCAAAATTTTCCCCTCAGTGTTTTCAGTCTTTGACTGTGCTGGTAGAATTTTGAAACAAAATGCACTCGCTAAAGCCCCGTTAACACACAGCGATAACTCGTATGCGATTCCCTATAGAGTTTGTCGTCGTGCGGTATTATATTTTGAGTCCAGAATTTTAGTGTTATCGAATCTAAAAACTGATTTCATTTTCGGAATTTAAGAGACATTTAATCCTTAGCAGAGTCTGTTTTTAACATTGACAATTTTGAATCTGAATTCATGTATCAAGGTCACCCACCTCGTTGTGCAAACTGACATCAAAGCTTTCATAATATAATATTGTACAGTCACTGTTCGGAGTAAAGTATGACAGCTTGGTCGAAAGACGCTCTTCTTCTCTTTGTTGGGATATTAAAATACGTTAGTGCATTGTTGGTCTTCTCTTAGTGTATTAACATTAATATTTAGTTAAATGTACTAGTAGCAATTGTAATGACAGATCCTTGAAGTTGAGTCTTGATGGGCTACCTAACCGACGATGGGTCACAGATAGTGTTAGGTTTTAAAAAAATTATTATTACAGACTAGTGGACCGTCAAGTAGAATAGCTGTCAATCTGGCCCTTCGATAGACTGTCAAGAAGAACAGAAATTATCAAGGCAGACTGTCAAGTGGATTGTCACAATTTTTGGTTCATGCAAGACCGTTGTTCGCGCTTTCTCCTTCCTTTTAGATTGTATAGCTACGGCGTAATTCTAGTGTATTCTCACTTCTAGCAAAATTTCTCAGTGTATAAATTAGAAACTTTGAGAAACAGCCCAACCCCAGGTCCACGTCCCGGGAGGAGGAAACTGGACAAAGTAGGGGATTTCTTGGTTCAACGAAGTACGGTGTGGCTTTATGCCACTGAGGCGTCACGCTAGCCGTGAAGGAGAACCCGGGTCACCCCGAAAAGTTGCTGGCTAACGGGGCTCTGGTGATGAAACTGTGACAGGCCTAGCAAGTCGGCAGCTGATTATTTATTGCTAAAAACTCAAATAGAAGAAAGAAACGGAATGACACAGACGGAAAACGACACGGAATAAAGAACCAAATGTTTCGGACATCTCATGCGATTACCAACACACCACACTGCACAACGTGCCTATATAAAAAAACAAATTCCTTCGATGGCAACAAGGCAAGAAGGCGATCGAGAAAGACCTGGATAGATGGAGTCAGGGAACCATTAACCACCCACAGTATCTCCCTGACCTCAGCTCTCCGGCTGGCGACAGAGAGGCCTCTCTTTCTTCATGCGACACCCAAAAGGGTATAAGCGGCGGATAAAAGTAAAAAAGTGAAAAGAAACAGTGTATCACATTTTTTCAAAACAAAAGGCAACTTGAATATCAGCTCACATATTTGCAGTCACCATAACATGCAGGTGCAGTTTTCCAGATACTCATAAAGAATCGCGCTGACTGTCTATTCTTCAAATCTGGCAGCCAGATGAAGCAGAATTATTTTCCAAGAAAGTGAAGGGGAAAAGAAAGAAAGAAAGAAAGAGAGAGAGAGAGAGAGAGAGA